AATAGATTCATCCTTGTCATCCAGTTGACAGCTCGTCGAGGGGTTCACCACTGGATATTGCACTATGACTGAATGGTAATCCGTTCAGTCAATTGTGCACCTCACATCCCACTCCTTCTCTCAAGAAAAACGAAAAAAAAAAATCGCTGTTGCTCATAGCTTTAGGGTGCTTGTTTTTCTTTAATTAATATCAGTCCATTTCAGCAGCCTAAATTGTCTGTGATGTTGACCCCATAATAACTGCACAAAGGTCATTTTTTCTATAATTTCTGATACACCGCAACTTCTTTAGCCAACTGGATTCATGGCGTCTTAGTAAAAGTCCCAACAAAAAAAAATGGAAATCTAACTGCGAATGACAAGTTGCAAACCTTAATGCTACCATAGAGGTAACTCTAAGACCAGAAGGTCCCGAAGAAACGTGCTCAACTTTTCTTTTTTTTTTTTAATCTGAACTTTTGGAAATCATTTCTAGTAATCAAACATCAAGACTTCTGAGAATGTTGCATTCTTGTCAGTTTTTATAACTTGCTTTCTAATCTTCATTGCCTTAAATTCAAACTCTCCTCATAATTCTTGCATGCCATTTCAGAAATGCCAAATCTGTTTTTGAAATATAATACATCTCCAGAAGTGAAGTATATCTTTCATTAAAACGATATTTGAATAAATCTGTACACTGGAGTAGTTACTGCTACCGGATGGCCTTAAATTAATTCAGAGAAATTCCAATCGATTTATTGTAATAAATTGTCCTATTCCTTCGTCTTAACAAATACCAAGTTAAAACACAATCTGTGGATAAAATCTGGGTCTTTTTTGTAATAAAACTCCTTTATAGGAATAACTCCATCAAAAAGAAAATATTGATGACTTAAGCATTTGCTGCACAAATACTGACAAATACTGTAGCCACTATGTCAGCAAAAGCTTCAAGAGATTCTTTTTCTTCTTTTTATTCGCATTTCAAGCTTATTGCTTAGCGCATATTAGCTTATTGCGTGCTCTCAACTTAGTGTTCTAAATGCACTTCCACATTTATTAATTGAGAGCATTCGATGCCGATATCAATGCATGAATTTATGTATTGTATGGCAAGCACAATGATACTCTATGCCCAGGGAAGTCGAGTAAATTTCCGACCCGAAATATTCCTTCGACCGGAAAGGGAATTGAAACCGCCGCATCCGGCTTAGCTTCAAGAGATCTGATCAGTGAATTTCATGTCCCGTATGAATCTATTCGGTATTCTGATCCAATATTCTGGATCTCAGTAAATGTACAATGATCGAACCCTCAACTTTCTGATCCTTTTAATCGATTCATTCTTCTCTTCAGAATTGGTATCTCACTTCTAACTACGTTCAACTGTCAGAAAGGGCATTCAATTAAATTATAATTTTCTAGCTATCAACACGAATCACCTTTTTACCATCTAGTAATCCTCAAACTAAGGCACTCATGATCGAGTGACTCAACATGCTCAGATACGTCTGTTCGAGATTCTCCCGCGTCACTCTATCATCGACAATCTATTCCTGAGCGAATCTATTCCTGAAGATCCGCCCTTTCGAGTGGGTGACCCACAACCAGGGGTTGAAACTGTTGACGTTTTTTACGACACTCGCTTCGTTGTCATGCGCGACAGTCTGTTCTTATTCGTACCATCATGCTCTACCGTCGTCCTACTCACACATCACAACCGGTAGAATAACATTAGAGCAAAAAGAAGATTATCAAATAACTTTCATATGACATGAGTGATTTCGTTCTAATTCCTCAGTTTGGTGTAAATTAAACTATTTCTGATTAGAAATGTTATTCCTAGGACATTATTGCTTGCTATTTTCAGAATTCACACAAGCACAACATCAGCAGCTCTTATAATGAGAAAAACTAAAATACATACATTCGTGACGGTCTTCGGGGACAGTGTCATATGACAAAGACTGTCAAATGAAATTTGAATTTGGTACCGTACTATGATAGCTTGTTTTGCAAGTGTCAGAGGCAAAGGCAGTCGATTATCACAGAAAATGTGTCGACTACCGTAACCGCTTACAAGACTGCCCACAACACTCAGGAAATCCTCACGACATGCCTTTCCTGAGCGGGTGTCTCAACACGCTCAATAACTTAGCGATTCCCAAGATCCACCTTCTTCGAGTGGGTATTCTGCCACACTCAGGCAATCATAACGACTTGCCTTTTCTGAGCAGCAAATCCACAGACCTTCTTACGAGCGTCCCACTTCGTCACTAAAGGTTTGCAGTAATCTTTCCACCGGGCGTCCCACACCATGGCAAAAATAGTCTTCTAGTGGGCATCTGCACCACCGGGCGTCCCACATCGTGGCAATGATTACATTACATAGCCGTCTCGAACCATTTTTCCACGGGCGTCCCACCACGTGTTTGATACCTGTTATGATTGCTGCAAAAATGATTATTCTAAGACAACACGGCAATCATACTACACTGCAGGAAACTTTTATCAACAATCAATACGAAACTAACGATTTTAAATTGGCTTACTACTTGACTAGCCTATTGGTCCCAAGCAAACGATTAACGTATCCCATGCTAGTCAAAATTCTAGTACTACACAATGTATATTTTGATTCGCTTTGAAAGTTTGACAGATAAAATGAGGGGTTAGTGGATTTTCCTATGTTTCGAGGGGTGAATCGATAAGCTTGGGACCGAAGATAGTACCAGAGCTGAGCCAAAAAGTTGAGCACGTTTCTTCGGGACCTTCTGGTCTTAGAGTTACCTCTATGCTATTATCACTTTTGAAAGGCAACGTAACGAAGAAAAAAAAAACAATCACTATTAACGCGTCAAAGCAAAACAAAATGTCTTCTCATGAACATTGACATTGCACGCTTTGTTTTTGTTGGTATCATTCCATTCCATTCGCGGTTCGCGGTTCGCGCTTCACACTTTCTCATAGACCAGACGAAAATTTGACGAATATACACGTGGGACTTTACGACTAGCCATTCTTTTAAATAACACTTCAATTTCCACTTTTTAGCCCTCTCAAATCGTTGGGTGATTCTAATGGAAAATGGTTCAATTTATTTTAGCACTGGTTAGTAGCTAAAACCTGGCAGGATCGCCATTGTGAGGTTTATTGGACCGTATCTCATCGGAATCACCCAACCCTTTTGGAGAGCAGGCACAACCTACCTATTCAACTGCACTGCGACGAGAGGACGAACGAGATGCTTGCTGAATGAAGCGTCGTTGGGTGGTCAGATTAAAGAGGACGAATAGATTCATCCTGTTCATCCAGTTGACAGCTCGTCGAGGGGTTCACCAATGGATATTGCACTATGACTGAATGGTAATCCATTCAGTCAATTGTGCACCTCACATGCACTAATACTTGTGCATTTCACAAACGTCAGAGAAGTTTATTAAATGTCTTGAAATGGTGAGGTAGATTGTTTCACATGCGAAGGAATTGTATTTGTAAGTGCTGGGAACTATAATAATTCAAAGCAGCAAGGAAAAATGGTGCCTAATAGTACGTTCAGACTACAGAGTTATAACATGTTATAGCGCTATCTTGATGGTCGTTTCTGTGTTGCAATTATTTGACAACCGTTATAACATGTTTAAGACGCTGTCCAGACTGGAGAGTTATAACATGTTATAACGGTTGTCAAATAATTGCAACACAGAAACGACCATCAAGATAGCGCTATAACATGTTATAACTCTGTAGTCTGAACGTACTATAAATTCATAATCAGTGAGCATGAGAAAGGACTTGCAAAAGTGTTAGTGTGTTTCGGGGGTTGTGAGTAATATTCGACAATTGAAGAGAGACCAGAGTGGGTTTGTGAGTAATAATAAAGTAGCATTTTGGTGCATGTTTATGACCCATGTGGATAGCAGTGAGTATTCTTCAGTGAGCAGAACGTGTGTTTGAAATAGGTTGACACTAAAGCTGGGTTTAGACAGGGCAAGTCAATTGATCAAGTCAGTTGAATTCAACTGACTTGAACGCTAATTGAACGTGTAAACCATGTCATTCAACTGACTTGATCAACTCACTTGAATTGAAAAAAGTTGAACCAGGCTCATTTTTCAAGCCAATTGAATTCAACTGAGTTGATCATTTGACTTGCCTAGTCTAAGCCCAGCTTAAGAGAAGAGGAGACAATACGGGGGCGAAAACGAACCACTTTTCTGTCAAACGCGAACCAGCTCGTGATTGGCCAAGTGCGTATGATAGAGATAGATATAGATAGAGATAGAGATGAAAGAGTAAAAAGCTAGTTTTCTGCTCTTCCTCTTATACCCCGGACAGACTATGGCTTATATCATGTAATATAGGCTGTCTTGCAATGAGCACTCATATATAGGATTTCCAGTGAAAACTAGATGTATGAGTGCTCATTGCAGGACAGCTTATATTACATGATATAAGCCATAGTCTGTCCAGGGTATTAGGGTTGACATAAATAGAAAAACGTGAGAAGAGCGACATTCGATTGTCTCTGTTTATGCAGAAGCATCAGGGTGGCCAGATAATTTTTTTATTATCAGTAGCTTCTCAAGACTCTGCTCCAGAACAATACACTGTCCTTCAGTTCTTCTGCTTTAAACGTGTCGAAATCAATATTTATATTTCTGATTCTAATTCTGACTACACGGAAAACAAAACATTGGTATTGAACATTTTTCAAGATTACAAAAAATTCTGTGATTCTCGGTAGGAAAAGTGAAAAATCGGTAGTTTTTAACCTTTCGTCTGTGAATCGGTAGGCATCCCGAAAATCGGTAGGTCTGGCCACCCTGAGAAGCAGAGAGAAATACACGCTATTATGAAACAACCCAACAATGTCCCAGGTTTTTGGGTGATGGACTTTTCTTTCCAGTCGTTTTTATTTTTATTTTGCACGAGCATGGTTTTCAATAATTTTTATTAAGAACGCTTTTTTTTTTGGAGAATTACAATAAATTAATAATTTAAATTACACGAGAAAATAGAATAGAACTAGAGACAAACGTAATGAAACAAAAAAAAATGCTTTGAGAGCGTGTTTATGAACAATTTGATGTTTGATGTGGAGCTTTTACCGTATGCTTAAGGTCAGAAAATTTCCTTACTTACGGCTCAATATTTGACCTAGCATACACATTTTAGGTGCACAAGTGAAGATCTATGGATATGGTTTTATGTTTAGCTAGAAGTAATAAAACAATGAGAAATTTCATCCTTAGCCATAAGATTAGTTAAAGATCTTAAACTTTAGTATTAAGAACTAATGTTACGCCAACTTAATCGTAGGTCAACTTCAAAACGACAACAGCTCGAATCTCATTCCGAATTTTTGCTTATTTGTTATGCAGTTTTAAGTGTTTGCAAACCCCTTCGCTTTATTTGCTTTGCACTGCGAGAAAAATCTACTAGTCCCGCGTGTGTTTTGATTTTTTTGTTTTCATATAAATGTGAATAGCAATTGTCTGAGTCTGTTTTGGTAATTCCCGATAATTGGTATTTAATGGTTATTATTTTTGTTTTAAAGATTAATTCTTAAAAGCGTTAGTTGTTGTTATGCTATAGTGAAAGTGACCTTAGCCACTGGCTTAAGGTTCGAATTTTTTTTAAGATACAATGTATAGTATAGTTGAGCTAATTTATTGTATTAAGTCTATTCTCCGGGCTCCAACGAGAATTTGGCAAGCTCGTTCAAAATTCAGATAAAAAAGCAACAAAATTTCGAAAGCTATGAAAAACTAATTGGTAGTTCTTATTTGGCAGCTATTCCAGTTGGAGAAAATGTAGAGTATTAATTGACAAGCCCAAAATTATAAGAAGCAAAATCCTGTAAAAGCAAGTGCAAACCGGACAAATTGAAAAAAAAAACAGAACAAAACTTTGGATTCATTCGTCGACTTCTGTTTTGACGATGATGTCCTTGGACAGTCCCGGTGGTGGTTGCCTGGCGCCAGCAGTGGCTGGCGAGGCCCGAGAAGAAGACGTCGAAGAAGAAGACGATGATCTAGAGTTGGAAGAGTTTGGTTTGGTATTGTTTGGCGATGAACAGTTGTTTCCGTTGGCATTCTTCGGCTCGTGCTGTTTGAGGGTCGACATGAGCGATAGCGGGATGGTGATGTATTGCTGGGCGCCGTCTGAGGGAGAAACGGAAGGGAAACGAAACGATGGTGAGATTATATGGAGAGAGCTTTTGAATATGTTTGCATCAGTCTAGTAGGACTGGGTGAATTCTAGAAGCAAAGTTCTGAGTAATTTTAGGAGGAATTTAAGAAAATCTGAAACTGGAATTTCAGACTAATTGCAAGGATTTGCAGAAGGAGTTAAAAAAAGCTATTGTAGAATTTAAGAAGGGAGTCAAGGTTAATTGAATTGAATTCCAGAGATAATTTAAAGGAATTCCAATACGGATTTCAAGAAAAATTCCTAGAAGACATATTGAAGGAATTTCTGGAAAAAAAATCTAAGTATTGTCAGGAGAAATTTCAGAGCAATAATAGACGGAATTCCTGAGTTATTCTAGAAAAACGTTCTGGACAAATTCGTTGATAACATCCATTAACAATATGCTCATGAAATTCAGATTGTTTTTACAAGAACCTTTAAAGAATTTCGTGAATTAATTCCAGGGTGAATTTCAGAGGAATTTTGGGACAAATTTTCGGATACAATGTTGGAGGAATCATTGACGCACTTTTATTAAAAATGTCCCGGTAAATCTCTGAAGGAATTCCTCGGTTAATTATTGAGAAAATTGTTTATCATCAATTGTGACTTATGTCTTGGGAGAATTCATGATAAAAATAATGAAGTAAATCATGGAGTAGCTTCTCGATAAATTCCAGGAAGAATATCTGGTGAACTCCCTAACTACTTCCAGAATTTCATAGGAATTTGTAGGAGGAACAACACAGATAATCCAGGAGGAATTTCTGGAGTGATTCTTGATGGAGCCTTGGGGAAAGTCCAAGAAGACATTTCTAGGAATTCTAGGAACTTCAAGAATGAATTCCAGAAGGACTCTTATTGCTCCAGGATAATTTCAAGTACTAATTCATAGATAATTTTTTGAAGGAATCAGTGTTCCATTGAAAAAACTACGAGAAACATTCAAGTGGTACCTACATCCATAGAAAATGATTCGAAATGCGGTCAATCCATTTTTTAGGTGAACAGATTTTGGTCCCGCATGGCACTGGAGCAAAACCTCTGCTGAAATTTCAAGATAATTTTTAAGATGAGTTCCACGATGGATTAAGAAGAGCAGTGTATCTTTAATTTCAGGTGAAATTTCAGGAGTATTATTAAGAGGAAATTCAGAAGGAACTCCAAGCGGAATTTTTAGAGTCAATACTAGACTGATGCCAAAAGTGAAATTTTCGCTCCACACTGCTCAAACGGCTTCAATCTGGGTCCTGATCAGCCTCTGAAAATTTGATCTCATATAGTACGAAACTGACTTGGCACAAACGATTTTAATTTATATAGAATTTACTATGAAAAAACTAAATATTTTGTTCATATCTTTCTAAAATTTCACCATTTCACTCTGCTTTAAAAAATGATAGCTATGCTTGAGGAAATTTTCTCATCTAAAACTTCGTTGAGGATTACTTTTCGATAAAATGTAAGGAACTAAAGTTATTAATGATTCAAGCCACTGAAATCTTATGACTAAGCTCAATCAACTGTTAGGCAGGCAACAATGCTCGATTACTTTTTCAAAGTGACGTATCAGCTTTTGTAAACAATGCATTTGACCGTCGATTTGACGTAACTGGTAGCTTGCCCACGCATGCTAACACTATCATCAGATAGGGGAAATTTTCCCCTGCCTGAAAGTGGTGTTAGTATGTGTGGGCGAGCTGCCAGTTACACCAAACCGACGATCAAATGCATTGTTTACAAAAGCTGATACGTTTCTTCGAAAAAGTGATCGAGAATTGTGTTTCTGGCGCGTGGAATAGAGCATAAAGACCGGCGCACAATAGATACGTTTTCGGCTTTTTGACAGATAATGCATGGGCTAACTTTCAAAAAACCTGAAAACGTATCTATTGTGCGCCGACCTTACGAATCATGGCTACTATGTCATACTGCACAGTACAGTGTTGCTCACAAAACAGCTGCTTAATCCTGGAACGGGACTTGACAATAGGGTAGTGATTTCGAGCCATTTGTTTTGTTTATATTTACGAAAGGAAAGTTGAAAAATTGAGTGCATTGCATGTTTTAAGCGATGGATATTGTTGTTTGTTTATGGTTGTTCATTGAGTTGAGCAAATATGATGTACAAGCTTCTAAACTGCGGTAGAAACTCCGAATAATATCCAAATTAAAATAGAAAAAATATTTTACATTCCTGACATCATTGGTCAACTCCATCAAACACCACGCACAACTTTCCGAAGGGTATTCGTCAAAAACATTAAGAAGAGTGAGAAGCTCGATTGTCAAGTCCCGTCGTGGGCTTAATCATGTCATTAGATTATCTGTCTCTTAAACAATTAATAACTATTTAACTTGCCGTTTGGCAGAAATAAAATCCCCGGAAAATTTGTAGCGGGGAATATTTTTCATATGAAAACTATAGAACTTTTTAATATTTCCATATGGAAAAAGCCTAGAAGACAATGAACAAAATGTTTGGAATTCCCATAGTAATGCCCATAAAAACTTCAAATGGATTGTGCCAAGTAAGTTTCTTACCAAATGAGTTCACATTTTGAGGGGCTAATCAAGATCCGATTTGAAACCGTTTGAGCATTGTGGAGCGAACATTTCAAATTTTGCATCACTTTAGTAAATACACGAGGAACTGTAGAAGGAATTCCAATTGAAATCCAAAAGGAATTTCAAAGGAAACTAGGAGAAATTTTATGCTATTTTCCATGAGGAATTTTAGAAGGAACGTCAGAAAGAGTACACCAGGAAAAATGACATTGGAATTCCAGAAGGCATTCAATGGGAATTGTTATATCCGTAACCAAGGCCAACAAGTAAAACTAGTTGTTGTGAGGAGCTGCTGCTTATTAGTCTAACTTGGTTGGTGGTTGTAATACTAATGGAAATCTTTTTGCTATCATTCAGGCAGGGCCTACTACATCTCCTCCTTTTGAAAATAACATAGGAACGTCGTAGGAATTCTTCAACTGGTTCAGATGGCACGGCTATTTGTGCGAACTGCAATTCTACATTTAGAGCGGCAACTTCATGAATGACCATCGGATTCGTGTCGGATGTACTTGCTACTGGAGAACCACCAGGAATAGGGACATCGGAATTAACAGGCTCTTCTGGATCATTCGGTACAGCTATGGCATCTTGAACCACATCGAGCAGGTTTTGCCATGGTAGCTGCTGCGTCGATTGCTCTGGGACATCAGAATTGTGACGAGGGTGCATTGGGTTGACATGCAACCTCACCAGCTTCGGCTTCCGTTCATCTCCAGGGAAACGATATAGTAGACAGAGCCTTTCCGTTTGATGACTCGACCAGGAATCCAGGACTTGGCGTTTTAGTGATGCTGGTCAACGTAGACCAGGGGATCGTCTTCGAAGTCGCGCTTGACTGCTCCATGCCGACGATTGAACTGCTCGTTTTATTTGGCACCTTGAGTAACAGGAACAGGCTTCTTCAACAGGTCCAAAGTGGTTTGCACTGGTCTTCCGAGAAATGCTTCTGCTGGAGACGTCGATTATGCTGTGTTTCAGTTCGGCTTTGAGTGATACACCGAAAGGAATGTCTGCCGGTGCTCCAGTGTGGGCGAGCCTTCCCCCTTGGCTAGCTTCTTGAGGCCACGCTTGAGTGAATCACCGAATCGCTCCACTTGGCCATTGGACTGTGGATGGTTGGGAGCAGTGCGAATATGGGTAATGCCATTTGCTGCTTCAGCGCATGCAGTGCACTGACGGACAAACTGCACCTCATCGTCGTCAACATTGGGCCAGTAGCTGCAACTGCGGGCCAAAGACTTCATCCGTTCCACGATGCAACTGACGAACGATCTGCTTGTGAAACTTTATTGGTACGAACATAACACAATTTCCGACGAATTGAATTCCATCTCGTCTAGCGAAAAACTTCTTGACATCAGGATCAGAAATCTGCTTCGCATATAGGGTTTTTGATCTAATTTCCGTCCTACTAAGCACAACCCGCGCTTTACATCTCTTTTCTGAACGAGTTTAAACAAAAAATGGATTATTTCTATCAAAGATGACTTGCAAATTTATTCACCTTTCCATACGTACCGTTGGATTTGATAAAGAGTCACAAATTCTTGAGATATTGTCTAAAATCTAACGCTGCTTCTTGATTCTAAATTCGTTCTACAAGTTTAAATTCCGTCCTAACGCATTGAAACGTCATTAGATTTTCTTCGTCCTACGGATAAACGTAGAAAAAGGGGATTCGCTAGGAGCGCTTCTTTTGTTTTGAGAACAATGAGCGTAAATATTCATACAATGCACTCTAACAGGATTTATGTTGTAGCTAATGAACTAACGCATCGGAACAAACCTATTATTGATTTGTGCACGGTGAAATCATTGATATTATTGATCTTTTCTGATCGATAGAACGGAAATGGGCAATTAAGACGAAGTAGCGCTCTACAATACTGGCCAACCTTCGTTCAGGCAATTCACCACTTGCTAAAGAACTGGATCCACAGCCACAATCATCTGATGCGTGACTGGAAGGTTGCTGTTGGTGTCGTTGAGCATTGCTTTGGCTTCCAATTCGACGTACACGGCGGCTATCACGTAATCCTCGTCGGGTCTATGATGCGATGACATTTGCCGGGACAGGAAATCTGCGTAACCAAAATTCGTAGATGAAACGTGATGGATGTCGAAATCGTACAGCAGGAGTGTCAAAGCCCAGCACTGCAAACGAGCAGTGCAACGGTTGATGATCGGTTTGCAGGAGGAAGTGTCGTTCTTACAGTATCTTGTGGAAACGGGTGACAGCGAATTTCAGGGTTAATGCTTCCTTCTCCACTTGTCCGTACCCAAGTAACAATTTTGGTTTTATGAGGGTTCTGTAGACCATGATTTATACTTGTAGAATGCTATAAAACCGCGATAAAACCTGCAATGTTAGGGTTGTTCATCTCTACTGGGGTCAGTAAGC